CATTCTTGGTGCTACCAAAAATCCTAACGTTTTACACATTCACATTTTGTACGTAGCTCGCTGGGGCAGACTTCACCATGTCTTAAAGCTTTTGCATCTGGACAAGCCGCGGCTTTTAAAATGTTCAAGACAATTAAGAGGAGCCCAACTATCGATGTTTATGACACGAGCGGTGTAGTCTTGGAGGAGATCAAAGGTGACATTGAGTTGAAGGACGTGTACTTCCAATACCCAGCAAGACCTGACGTGCACATMTTCGCTGGGTTCTCCTTGTTTGTACCGAGCGGCACGACAATGGCTCTGGTGGGGCAGAGCGGKAGCGGAAAGTCCACAGTGATCAATCTGATCGAAAGGTTTTACGATCCAGAATCAGGGGAGGTGCTAATAGACGGCATTGATCTTAAGAATTTTCAGCTGGCTTGGATTAGAAGCAAAATTGGTCTGGTCAGCCAAGAACCTATACTCTTCGCAACCACCATAAGAGAAAACATTGCGTATGGAAAAGAAGATGAAACCGATGATGAGATCATAACCGCGATTGAGCTCGCTAATGCTGCAAAGTTCATCGGAAATCTCCCTGAGGTATAACTTGAACTTGACAGCCACATTTTGTCCGTAATTTGTTTTAGTTCAAGATGGTAGGCAATGACAATTCTCCCCAGGGTTTAAACACGTTGGTAGGAGAGCATGGGACACAATTATCTGGTGGGCAGAAGCAAAGGCTCGCAATCGCGCGGGCGATTCTAAAGAACCCAAAGATCCTACTTCTAGACGAAGCCACAAGTGYGTTGGAYGCGGAATCTGAACGTAYTGTTCAGGAGGCGTTGGTGAATCTAATGGCTAGACGGACCACTGTGGTGGTGGCTCACCGACTGACTACCATAAGAACAGCGGACCAGATAGCTGTAGTGCACTTGGGAAAGATTGTCGAGAAAGGTACGAGCTTTTTAACAGTATTAGATCATTAAGATACATATAAATATATTTTGTTATCTAGACTAGGAAATATCAAGGTGTACTATGTACAATGGATAGAATCTAATAAATAGTAATGTGTAAAGTAATTAAGTGTATATGATGCTGAACAGGCACTCACGAGGAGATGATTCRAGATCCAGAGGGAGCATATTCACAACTTGTTCGTCTTCAAGAAGGATCGAAAGAAAGAGCAAGGACAAAAGAATCAAAGAGAAGTGAGACAAACCTTGACATTGATGCTGAGAGGCTCTCTTCGAGCAGTCGCCATTCCTTGGTTCTCCCGTCAAATTTCGTTGTACCAGTTGACGTAAAGCAGAATGGTGATGAGAGCAAATCGCTTAGGAACCAGAAGAAAGCGTCCTTGACACGCCTTGCTAGCCTCAACAAAGCAGAGATTTCGATTCTACTGCTCGGCTCAGTGGCAGCAATGGTCCACGGTGCGGTGTTCCCGATATTTGGTTTTCTACTGTCTAACTCCATCAACATGTTCTTCCAACCTCCAGATAAATTGAAGAGAGATGCACGCTTTTGGACTTTCGTTTACATCATGCTTGGTTTGATCAATTTGGTGGTGATTCCAGTCCAGAACTATTTCTTTGGTGTTGCTGGAGGAAAACTGATCAAACGCATCCGGATGATGTCCTTCGACAAAATCTTGCACCAGGAGATTAGCTGGTTTGACGATACAGCCAACACTAGGTATGCAATTGCCACAATTCTATATCCTTAGATGAACCGGAAACATTATCTTTTTTTGTTTATCAGATCTAGTTCTTGTCTAGTGGTGCAATCGGAGCAAGGTTGTCAACTGATGCTTCAACACTAAGAAGTCTTGTTGGCGATGCACTAGCGTTGATTGTCCAGAATTTTGCGACCCTAATGGCTGGTCTGATAATAGCGTTTTCGAATAACTGGATGTTAGCTCTCATTGTCCTTTCTGTCTCACCAGTTATGTTCATCCAAGGATACATTCAGACAAAGTTTCTCACCGGTTTTAGTGGAGACGCAAAGGTCAGTGTTCAACATCTTAACTAAATTTCATATTCAACCATTTTAGTTGATTCGGTCTACTATGGTTCAGGTGATGTATGAAGAGGCAAGCCAGGTTGCGAATGAGGCCGTGGGCAGCATAAGGACGGTAGCATCTTTCTGCGCGGAGAAAAAAGTGATGAAGCTATATGAAACGAAATGCGGGGGACCGAAGAAACAGGGTATCTGGTTAGGAATCAAGAGCGGTGTGGGTTACGGGTTCTCATTCTTTGCCCTCTATTGCATCAATGCCATGTGTTTCTTTATTGGTGCATTGTTGATTCATAGCGGGAAAGCCACGTTTCAAGAACTCTTTAATGTAAGTAAGAGGGAAAATATTCCAGTTTGTTTCTGGTTATGGTTTATGATTTTGACTAATTATGTTGTTGTAGGTTTTCTTTGCACTCACGGTCACAGGCATAGTGGTGTCTCAGACGAGTGCTATGGCGCCTGATACAGCCAAAGCCAAAGACTGTGCAGCTTCGATTTTTGATATCCTTGACAGTAAACCAAAGATTGACTCGAGTTCTGATGAGGGGACAACTTTAGCAAACGTGGATGGCCACTTCGAGTTTCGGCACGTTAGTTTCCGTTACCGGACTCGACCAGACGTTCAGATTTTCCATGATTTTTGTTTGACTATCCCCTCGGGCAAGGTACATGCATGTCACCACAAGAAAGGCTTTTCTGGTTGAGTTATGATACCGAAAGATCTTATTTTGATTTGATTATCAGACCGTAGCGCTTGTTGGAGAGAGCGGGAGTGGGAAATCGACTGTGATAAGCATGATAGAGAGATTCTACGATCCGGATTCTGGCAAGATATTTCTAGATCAGGTCGACATTCAGTCGCTTAAACTGAGCTGGTTAAGGCAACAAATGGGTCTGGTTAGCCAAGAACCGGTTCTGTTCAACGAGACAATAAAATCAAACATTGCCTATGGCAAAACCGGAGGAGCTACGGAGGAAGAGATTATAGCGGCCGCACAAGCGGCCAATGCGCACATCTTCATCAGCTCGTTGCCTCAAGGGTATGACACGCCGGTTGGGGAACGCGGGGTTCAGCTGTCGGGTGGCCAAAAACAGCGAATCGCGATCGCCCGTGCAATTCTTAAAGACCCTAAGATTCTGTTGCTCGACGAGGCAACCAGCGCGCTGGATGCAGAATCTGAGCGGGTGGTGCAGGATGCACTTGACCAGGTGATGGTGAACCGGACCACAGTTGTGGTGGCCCACCGGCTCGGTACCATCAAGAACGCAAACGTGATCGCAGTTGTGAAGAATGGTGTAATTGCAGAGAAAGGACCACACGAGACGCTAATGAATATTTCTGGTGGTGCGTATGCTTCCCTTGTAGCGCTTCACATGAACGCAAACTAAGACCGCTATGTGATCGCTTCAGTGACCTTTTTAACTTTTTGCTTTCTTGCGTGTTTGATTTCACTCTAAACCAATTCTGCATTATTTTTTTATTTTCATTTTTTCCTAGAAATATTTTCCTTTATTCATATATTTTCCAAATGGGCATCATTTCTGAATTACAACAAGATGAAAGTTTAAAGAAAATCAAAATATATTATAATAGATTATAGAACCACATGTGAAGCAACTATTTGATGGAGAGTATCAAGGAAAGGAAGGAAAGAAGAACCCTTTAGAATTGGATGTATCTGAACCACATGTGAAGCAACTAGTCCAGTAAGCTTAGCTCTAAGGAGAAGCTGAATCTCCTTGGTAACAACTTGCTGAGGCTTCTTAACAGAAGAATGTAGCCTGGCATTCCTCTCCTTCCAAATAGAATACACCACTGCATGAAATATTAGTTTGACAATCGGTTTGAGGCTAGGCTTCCAATTCTGCATTTGGTTATCAAAGAACAAGTAATAATCATTCTCTTGTTGCTACATGACCAGCAACACTTGAGGCAAAACAAAAATCTCTTGGTCTTTCTATTTGTTGAGCAGTGAACAAATCATATAACGAAAAGAGGTGATCCCTCGTTCTGCCTTTTTTCTTCTCCAAGCAAGCGTTATCTCCATTCACCGTCGTAGATGTATTCGGTAGAGTTATGAGGTTAATCACGGCTATCAATTACTCCTATACTAATGTGGTATCCGCGCCGTGCGCGGGATTTTAGTTTTAGATAATAATCTTAAAAATAAAATAAAAAATAGTGTTCATATGAAAGGATGTAAAAAATAAAATTCAAAGAAAACTATTGAAGATAGAAAATCTAATATAGAAATCAAAGAATCAAACTATCTTATATAAACTACATATGAAGGAAACAATTCATATTCCAAACCAAATATTAATAGAAGATTGAAAACCAAATTTAAAGATCAAACCATAACTATCTTATAGAAACTACATGTCAAAGAAACAAAACATATTCCAAACCATGGCATGCTGAGACACGTCGAGCAGTAACAACAATCTTCTTGCATCGATTTTCATCAAGAACTTCGAAAAGATTCTTTTGGTTTTCTATCTTCTGGATACCACTCTAAACAGATGAATATAAAACAGACCAACGAAAAGCTTACCTTTATTACGAAAGATGACATGTTGTATTCTCAAGACATTTATGATTAAGTTGGGTACTTGTTTCTTATTTCTTKCTCATAGTTATATAATCATAYTCTTCTTCTGTTTAGACCACGATAATGTGAATGAGGCTTAGSGATAAGCCGATGACAATAACAATCTAGTCGAATAACAAACACAKAATGGATGTAAAAAAAACATTAACCAACATAGAGCAAAGATTTGACTTGCATTCTCACCAAGCTTTCATATGTAACACGATCAACCAAACAATTTTTAATAAGGGAAGGAGTACCAACATAATTTATGGAAAAAGCAGAGATCAAATTCGAATCGTTATTTTGTTAATCATCAAATTCAAACTTACTATTTTCTAGTTTAGTACAAATCAAACATAATTGGCATGCACGCTTCACTTGATGAGTAAATAAACCTTTTAGTCTATCTCTTTCTTCTCAAAAGCTTATTATCCTTGCGCGGGATATATGAATAACAAAAACAATATTTTGAAATTG